GTTATTGGGTGGGATGACTTGTTAAGTGGGTGGATGGATGGATGGATGGATGAATAGATGGATAGATAAATAGATAAGTGGGCAGTTATATGAATGGATGAAAGAAATTGATAAAATATTGGATCGGCGAATGAAAAGATGGATAAAATGAATGAATAAATGAATGAAAAATTGAATATATGACCGGATGGACGAATAGACGAATTGAACGACTTGATAACTGATCCACCGATAACGACATGCCCAGATATAAACTATCCGCCGAGGAGATATGGACGCTGCTGCCCAAAGTGGACGTGGGCGAGACGCTGGTGGCGAAGTACTGCCCTGACTTCGCCTCTCCCATGACCTGCGTGCCCGGGAGATACCGAAGGCACGATGGCCTCTGCAACAACCTGCGCTTCCCGACGTGGGGCGCGACCAGGACTGCTTTTGCGAGGTCAGAAGGGGAGATTGAGTCGGTGTGTGATTGGATTTTATTTGCTATTAGCCTTTTTCTCTCCTCTCTCTCTCTGTCTCTCTCTCCTCTCCTCTTCTCCTTCTCCTTCTCCTTCTCTTTTCTCTCTCTCTCTCTCCTCTTTCTCTTTCTCTTTCTCTCTCTATCTCGCTCTTTCTCTCTCTCTCTTCTCGTCTCCTCTCTGTTCTCTCTCTCTCTCTCTCCTCTCTCTCTCTCCTCTCCTCTCTCTCTCTCTCTTTCTTTCTTTCTTTTCTCTTCTCTTTCTCCTCCTCTCTCTCTCTCTCTCTCTTCTCTCTATCTCTCTCTTTCTCTCTCTCTCTCTTCTGCCTCTCTCTCTCTCTCTCTCTCTCTCTCTCTCTCTCTCTCTCTCTCTCTCTCTCTTAAATGCGAGGTGGTGTTTTTTTCTCTGGATTAAGATGCAGCTCGATCTATGTTAGTGATGAATTTAAGTTTTTTTTTTATGAGATCGTGGTCGGGTATTTTTCGTTGTGGTTAGAGGCAGCTAAGTCTATGTTGATTGTGAGTGTAATCAAAACTTTCGACCCTAAAGAGTTTTAGATCTTTATTAAATAAAGAGAGATAAAGCCTTTAAATATAACATAAAAATTACATAAAGTATTTAAATATAACATAAAACATAAAATACAACGTAACTTTAAAGCCTTTAGATATAACATACCTACTTTACACACCTAGACAGAGATATATTTAGAGATAGACAGATAGACAAAATAAGACTTAGACCGATATAGACTCACATATCCACCGCAGATTGGTCCCCCCGGCGTACAGCGACGGTTTGGGGGCGCCGCGAGTGAGCCGAATCCCCGGTGGCTCCCTCCCCAATCCCCGCAGGGTGTCGTCCAGCATCCACCGTGACAAGGGCTACCACGACCACGCCATTACGCTCTTCGGCATCGCCTGGGGGCAGTTCATGGACCACGACTTCACCCTCACCGCCACGCCCCTGGGTGAGCTTTCCCCGAGGTTCTCCCGGGGTTGCTGTGAGGTTCCCGGGTGTGGCAAAGGAGATGGATGTTTTTTGGTCGTTTGTTTGTTTGTTTAGGATTTTTTAGGCTTTATGTTTTGGGGTTGATATGATGTAATTCAGGTTTCGATCCCAGCGCTATTAGGTCCGGTCAGCGTATTCCAGGAAATGAAATATTCCCACGTTGAAGGAATCATTTTTCATAGGCCTGCATTTTTAAAATATATGTATATAGAGGCTTTTTCTTCTTCCAGCTCAAAAGCATATTGCAAAAAAAAATTGTTTCTTGGTATAAATGTCTGATAATTAGAAACGAATAATTTGATAATTAGTGAAATTAGATAACAGTTTATACACGTTGAACATATCAATGATGTTATTTTTTTTTTAAGTTTACGCTTTTCTAGACCTTATCCTTCAACCTTGAGAAAAAACAAATATTTAGAATTATGCAATTGAGGATTAATCTATTGACCCTTTTAAAAATATCTGATCAACTTTCAAGCTCTTAAAACCTTCCTTCCGCAAAAAAATATATCATGTAATATGGAAAAAGTAATATTCCTGTCACAAAAGATGTACGCTAAGATTTACCTTCTGGCAAAGGGTATATATGCCTCCTGTCATATCGTTATAACATCTGAACTTACAACATTGCTCTCGCAGAAAATGATAGTAATGTCACAATCATACTCTATTTATATCCCGGATGTCATTTTTGTCATTGAACTTACAAAACGGCTAAAGGAATACTTCGTCTCAATCATACTCTATTTATATCCCGGATGTCATTTCTGTAATCTTATCATGACCTTCCTTTCCACAAAAATAATGATAATAATAATAAAAACAGTTATAATTACTATTATCATTATCATATCATAATCCTACCAAATTCCTGTCACAAAAGATAAACACGAATCTTACCATAACAAATGCACAAATACAACCTAATCTTCAACCTTCCTTCCGCAAAAAGAATTATAATGAATAATGATAATAATAAATGAATAATAAAAAATAATAAAATAATAATAAAAAATGATAAATAAATAAATAAAAAATAATAAATAATAAATAATAATATATAAATAAATAATAATAAATAAATAAATAATAAATAATAAATAAATAATAAAATAAATAAAAAATAACAATAAAATAAATAAAAAACAATAATAATAAATAATTAAAGATAATAATAATAAAGAAAAAATATAATAATAAAAAAAAAAAATAATAACAATAAATAAAAAGAATAATGATAAATGAAAACTGTCACGAAATATGTACACGGATACCCTGTGACAAAAGGTACGCCTCCCCTTTAATTTCATTGTGACATATTACCGTGTTGACAGATCCCCTGACGAGGAACGAGCCCGAGGTGTGCTGCCACCCTCCTCCAGGAGTCCCCAAAGACCCTCACTGCCTCGAGATTACTATACCGAAGGACGACAGATTTTACAAGCTGTATGGGCAATCTTGCCTTGAGTTCGTGAGAGCTTTTTCGGGCGTCAGGCAAGATTGCAAGTTAGGTAGGACTCTGGGATTTTTTTTTTTTTTTTAGCTTTTCTTTTTTCTTTATTTTATCTTGTGTGTGTGTGTGTGTGTGTGTGTGTGTGTGTGTGTGTGTGTGTGTGTATGTTTATGCATGTATGTGTGTATGTTTGTACGTAATGTATGTTGTGTGTGTGTTTTCTTGCATATATAATCAGCTTGGTTTAATGGATGAATGGCTTGTTTAAGTGAATGAATTTAATAATGAATGAATGAAAAAAAATGGATGGGCGAATGGACGGATACGTACACGTTTATGAATAATAAAATAAAACTGTTCACGGCATATATCCCAGGTCCTCGCGCACCCTTCAATATCCTTGCTGGGGTGATTGACGTCAACACGGTCTATGGCAGCACTGACAAACACGCGAGGTTGGTATCCCTGCTTTTGCTGTGAAGGGAAGGGTGTTGTGGCGTTTGATTTCCCTTTGATTTTCTTAAATTTTTAGGATTAAATTGGGTCTAAAAAGGTTTGTTGTATTGAGTTTTGATAAAGCTATGATAGGAATTATAATGAAATAAGAGTTAAAAAGTTCGTAGTGTTCCTACTTTTTCAAATTGTTAGTCCCACAAAACGACTAAATTGATAATGAAATATGTAAAAAAAATAATAATAATAATAAATAAAAAATAAAAAGGAGGGGGGATCTTGCCTCTCAATAATCCACACACTCCTGCAGGTCTCTGCGGTCGTTCAGGGGCGGGGAAATGAGAATGAACAACGCCTTCGCATCCTTGGGCCTCCGTGCACTCTTGCCGCAGAAACTCGACGTGCCTGACGAAGGATGTACAAGGACTTCTCCACATCAGTATTGTTTCGACGCCGGTTAGTTAATATAAAGATGGCGACTGAGCACCTGCTGTGATCTGTGTGATAGTGTGTTCTGTGGAAGAGTAATGTGTTATGGTTGCCGGACATGCGTGTTTATATATTTGCATCTTAATCCATCTTTTTGAATCTATACATATATCTGTTTCTTTTCGAGAAAAATTATCACAGAGCTGTACCAGGAAATAAGATTAAATAAGTTCTTTAGGTCACACCAATTTTATTTGTTGCCTCTCAGATTCGCCGCTTCATTTTTTCCCCATAAAGCCGGACCAAAGATCACTACAAGTTTTACTTTCGCAAACCTTTCGCAAACATGCTGCCGGAAACCAATCATAGAGTTTCTTTGTAGTCACATGCAAATTTTAATTTAGTTTAGAGTTTAGTTGTAGAGTAGTTTATAGAGCATATTGTAGAGCAGATTGATGTTTTCTTTGTAAAGCTGAAAGTTTGCATGCCAGAGAAGACAACAAAATACCTGTGGAAAAGGACCCCTTTTTTTTTTTTTTTTTTTTTTTTTTTTTTTTGGGGGGGTTACTGGATTATCAAACTTTGGATTGACATCACACAAAACAAAGATTACAGTAGTAAATGCAGCACACGTAAATTCAGTCAAAAACAACTTACTTTATTCGGAAATGTAGTAATAGATCAAAGGACGGGATTCATTACATAAAACGTGCCATGGAAAGCTGAAAACTTGAATAAACCTGTTATTCTTTATGTTTTGAATGTCCTATGTCTTCACCCCAGATTTCTTGTATTCTCTTTTCTTTTTTTGCGCCCTTTCGCTCCATTTTTTTCTGCAAAAAATCCCAGAAGCAACAGACAGTGCGGCGTTACCATTGAGACCGAGAAGAGAGAGAGAGAGAGAGAGAGAGAGAGAGAGAGAGAGAGAGAGAGAGAGGAGAGAGAGAGAGAGAGAGAGAGAGAGAGAGAGAGAGAGAGAGAGAGAGAGAAGCATTGTGCGTGGAAGGTCTCGTCGGTCGAGAACGGGTGGTCAAACACAACCCGACGTCGTTCTTAGGGGTCAGAGCCTCGGAAATACCAGCTGGGGAAAGAACAGGAAGCGTTGTTTTGCGGAAGAGCTGGAGGAGGGATGAAGCCTTTCATGGGAGAACATGGTTTCCGCTGAATAGCATTATGGGTCTCTAGCGGTTCGCTGGTCACAAACACGACTACGATGACTAAGATTTTAGTTTCTTTATAGATGGTATGGTGTTTGTAAGGAGTGATTTACTGACTTTATATAAACAGGCCTTTCAAGAGACGTAAGAATAAGATCTGATAGTATTGTGCGAAATGCTGCACAAAAATATACACACACCAATTTCAGATACACCAAAGCTCATCCATGGGTTAGTCCTTATCGCAAATCCAACAAAATTACGTAAGTAGATGGAATGATATCAGCTGATTGCTAAAAGAAATAGATTGTTGTTCACTTCGGAAAGACGATTTTTCTCGACTTGCCAACGATCATTTCTCAATAAGTGATATATTCTTCTTCTGGGATGCATTCTCGTAAATCAAAATTCAGTGGTTTGTTAAATAAACGGACAGGAGCAAAAAACAATAGAAATTATGCAAAATTGCAAAATAGAAATTATGGACGGGAATGAGAGGGAGAAAAGAGTTAAGAGTGACGGGAAATACCAGGGAAAATACCAGAATATACCAAATGGCGTTTTGCAAAGACAGGAGAAAGCGAGAAGATCTTTTTCGTTAATTGGGTCACGAGTCGATTTATCTTTGCTTCATCCAGACCTTTCTGCCTCGGGTCACTGGTTCTCAAAACCCCTGTGTCCCTTATTATTAGATTTAAAGATTTAAGATCTAGTTTCAATTCCATTTGTTACAATGGATATTCTTTGTTGTGGCATACTTTCTGTTTTATTTTGCTTCTAAATCTCTCCCTGTGGGCAAGGAATAGCCGGGGTTACCTTCCCCTATGTGCAACACAGCCTACCATCACTGGTATCCAACACAGGTCAGCAAGATGCACCAGCATGTTACTATTGCCACTACACAACACACACAGCAGTGTTGTTTAGCCTTTGAAGGTTATCTCTGTTTATGTGAGATTGGGTAAACTATACATACAAACATTGATATAGTCTGAATGTAGATTATAGCTTGAACCCCAGATCCAGTGTATCTACTCCAGTCATTTCTACTTCTAATCTACTACTCGATCACTTCTACTTTCCAATCTGTTCTAATCATTTCTACTTTCCTATCTATTTACTCCAATAATTTTTGCTTGTTTATTCTATCTAGAGATACTCGAATCACTTTACTTCCAATCTTCCTACTCCAACTTTACTTTCCAATTATTTCCAGTCACAATTGTATTTGCTCATTTCCAATCATTTCTACTCTCCAATCTACATATTCCAATATATTTTTTTTCTACCCGCTCAATCCTTTCTACACGCCTACTCCAATTACTTCACTTTCCAGTCCATCTACTTCACTACTTTTCCAATCTTCTTACTTCACTTCTACGCTTCCAATCCATCTACTCCAATCCTTTCTACCTGCCAATCTCCTTCCTCTAATCCCTCGTTCCCGCAGGAGAGATTCGGGTCAACGAACAGCTAATCCTGACCACCATGCACACCCTTTGGTTCAGAGAGCACAATCGCGTGGCGGGTCGATTGGCGAATCTCAACCCTCACTGGGACGACGAGACACTCTACCAGGTAAAGATCATTTTTGGTGAATGTACACGAGCGATAGGATACGAAAAGGAAGGACGAATATTGATAAATTTCGTGGATGATACATTGACTGATATGATTCGGTTGGATATGATACGAAGAGAAATGACAAATTTATTTATAAATTGCTTCTCTTCCCATTCTGTCTTTCTCTCTTCCTTCCTCCCTATTTCTTTCGTCTTCTTTTTTATACGTATTTGTATATTAAGAAATGACAAATATATCTGAATTGCTTCCTTCCCCATTCTTTCTTTCTCTCTTCCTTTCTCTCCCTTTCTTTCCTCTTCTTTATATATATTGCATATCAAGAGAAATGACAAATACATATGAATAAATACAAATATATATAAAACAGCAAATGCTATAAATTGAATCACATGTGTTAAAATAATCATGACAAACGTTCGCACACCCATCAACGTTTATAACAAACATTTCAAGTGTTTATGCAACATCCGCTCCCAAAATCTTAGCCATGCTTGCACCTCCTACCACTGTTTTTGGATAATATCACGAAACCTACAATGCTTGCAAATGCTCCGCCCACCTGTGTATTGATGTCTCCCCCACCCCCACCCCCCCCCCCCATAGGAAGCCCGGCGCATCATCATTGCTGAAGTCCAACACATCACTTTTAACGAGTTCCTTCCTCTGCTGTTGGGGAAGGAAGTCATGGCTGAATATGGACTTCTTCCTGAGAAAGAGGTAAGATGAGTGGGGAAGGGGAAGCAGAGAGAGAGAGAGAGAGAGAGAGAGAGAGAGAGAGAGAGAGAGAGAGAGAGAGAGAGAGAGAGAGAGAGAGAGAGAAAGAGAGAAAGATGAGAGAGAGAGAGAGAGAGGTAGGAGAGAAAAGAGTGTGGGGAGGATGGGAGAGAAAGAGAGAGAGAGTAGGGAGAGTAGAGAAAGTGAGAGAGAAAGAGAGTAAGGAGGAGAGAGGAGAAGAGTGAGAGGAGGAGGGGAGAGGTGAGGGGAGAGAAAATGAAAAAGGAGAGAGTAGGAGAAAAAAGAGATACAGTAAGGAGAGAAAGAGAGAAAGAGAGACTGAAATGAGAGAAAGAGAGAGTAGGTAAGGAGAGAGAAACGGAGGTACGAGAAGAGAAGAGAATGAGAAAGGGAGAGATTAGGAAGGAATTAGAGAGAAATAAGAGAGGTGAGAGGGGGAGAGAGTAAGAAATGAATAGGAAGGGGAGAGAATAAAAAGGGAGGATGAAAGGAGGGGAAAGAAAGAAAGAGTAAGGAAGGGAGAAAGAAAGAATGGAGAGGGAAGAAAAATAGAGAGAGAGAGTAGGAAGGGGAGAGATAAAGAGAGTGAGTAAAGAGGGAAGAGTGAAAGAAAGAGTAGAGAGGGGAGAGAGTAAGAAGGGAAGAGAGAGGGAAAGAGAAGAGAGACTCTCTCTTCTTATAGATGGAGAAAGAGGAAGAGTAGACAAATAGGGGAGAGGGGAAGATGAGTAAAATAAGACAGAGGGGGTAGAAGGAGAGGAATGAGAATGAGAAAGGAAGGAGAATGAAAGAGAATGAGAAAGAGAAAGGGGAGAAGATGGAAAGAGAGGGGCGGGAAGGAGAGAAAGGAGAAGATAGGAGAGGGGAATAAGTGAAAAGGGAAAAAATCAGCGTTCCTGTATGTGTCTTTGTGCTTGTGTATGTTTGTTTGTGTTTGTTTGTGCTTGTGTATGCGTTTGCGTTTGTTTTTGTATCTGTGCATGTGTCTTTGGGCAAAACGTGAGCCCAAAAGACACATATCCTAAAAGAGAAATTTGAGTACAAAGAAAATCGATGATTTTATGAATACAGATATTGATACTTCAAACAATAATCTCAACACCAATGGAATAATGGAATCTCCACATCAAAAAAAAAAAAAAATGCTAACAATACAACTCATTAAATCCACTTATCCACCCCATTTTCTTTATTTACTTAATCTCTTTCTTCATTCATCTCTTTTCTCAATAAACTACCCCCCCTCCCTTTCCCCCAGGTTATTACCACGGCTATGACCCCACGGAGGACCCCAGCATGACAGCGGGGTTCGTCAGCGCCGCCTACAGGTTCGGCCACTCCCTTCTGCCTTCGACGGTCGAGCGGTGGAGCCCCTCGCATACCATCATAGGTGGGTGGGGGGGGGGGTTGAATAGGGTGGGTGGGTGGGGGTGTGTGAGTGGGTGGGAGGTGGGTGAGGGGGGTGAGTGGGTGGGGTGGAAGGGTGATGGGTGGGGTTGGGAGGTGGGGAGGAGGTGGGTAGAGGGGGTAGAGGGGGGTGTGGTGCGGGGAGGGTGGTAGAAGGGGGTGTGAGTGGGTGGGTGGGGGGGTGAGTGGTGGGAGGTCTAGAGGGGGTTGTGAGTGGGTGGGAGGTGGGGTAGGAGGGAGGTCGTGAGTGGGTGGGTGGGGGTGTGAGTGGGTGGGAGTGTGGGTAGAGGGGGTGTGAGTGGCGTGGAGGTGAGTAGAGGGGGGTGAGTGGTGGTGGGGGTGTGTGAGTGGGTGGAGGTGGGTAGAGGAGGGTGTGAGTGGGATGGGAGCGTGGTAGAGGGGGTGAGTGGGTGGGAGGTGGGTAGAGGCGGATGTGAGTGGGTGGTGAGGTGGGTAAAGGGGGGGTGAGTGGGTGGGATGGCGTAGAGGGGGTGTGAGGGGTGGGAGGTGGGTAGAGGGGGGGCTGAGGGAGTGGGAGGTGGTGTAGGAGGGATGTGAGTGGGTGGGAGCGTGGGTAGAGTGAGAGTGAGTGGGTGGGAGTGGTAGAAGGGAGTGAGTGGGGTGGGAGGGTGGGAGAGGGGGGGTGAGTGCGGTGGGCAGATGGGTAGAGGGGGTGTGAGTGGGTGGGAGGTGCGGCTAGAGGGAGGCTGTGACGTGGTGTGGAGGTGGTGTAGAGGGCGGGTGAGTGGGTGGGAGATGGGTTAGAGGGAGGTGTTAGTGCGGTGGAGGTGGGTAGAGGGCGGTGTGGAGTGGGTGGGAGATGGTAGAGGCGGGTGTGAGTGGTGCGGAGGTGGGGTTAGAGGGGGTTGCTAAGTGGGTGGGAGGTGGGTATAGAGGCGGAAGGGAGAGCGGGTGTGGGAATGGGTAGAGGGAGGGTGTGAGTTGGGTGGGAGGTGGGTAAATGGGGTGCAGTCTGTGACGTGGGTTGGGAGTGGTAGAGGGGGGTGGAGTGCGTGGGAGGTGCGGTAGATGGGGTGAGTAGAGGGTGGGAGATGCGGTAGATAGAGGGGGTAAGTGGGTGGGAGATGGGTAGAGGCGGGGTTGAGTAGGTGGGAGATGCGGGTAGAGGAGGTGGAGTGGGTGGGAGGGTGGGTAGAGGGGGGGTTGAGTGGGTTGGGAGATGGTTAGAGGCGGTGTGCCGTGGGGTGGAGAGGTGGTGGTAGAGGAGGTTCTGTGAGTGCGTGGGAGCGTGGGTAGAGGGGGGGTGATGAGGTGGGAGATGGGTAGCAGGGGGTGTGAGTGGGTGGGAG